AATTCCTACTCTGATTTGAGGAATTTTCAAGGTTTCTGAGAGCAAGTCAGTATAAAAACCATTTACAAAAAAGAAAACGTTTGGGTTCTTAAAATTGATACTGTTCAACACAAACATGATAAATGTCAGAATTCACAGATGATAAGATATGTAAAATCTCTAATTGTAAATGACATAGGTTTCCTCAGGGGCAGCACGAGGTCAGCGCTTGGGCTGCTTTTTCCCCAGCTGAGCAGCATCAGAAAGTAAATTTCAGGCCAACACAGGTCATCAGAAGTTCGTCTCCATGCAGCTGGTGGCAATCACCCCAGCCAATGGCTTGATCAAGCCCTGGAGCTGAGTCCAGAAAATATGTTCTCTCCTCCCCCACCCCACCCTTGCACTGCGTTTCACCGCACCACTTGGGGCTGGGCACCCACGGATTGCTGTGGACTCCACCTGTCTGTTAAAATGTGTGTGACTCCATGTAAGAATTCCTTCCTCCCAGAACCTTCCGGACCTTCCACCTAACAGGATGCAAACTACAGGAAGTGAGAAAATGAAATATATACATACAAAGCAGCTTGGTTAATAGCACTCTGTCAGTAACTGTGAACAATTCCAACCGCTCCTTTTTTAATTTTTTATAGGTAACTTTCATTTAATAATACAAATTTTGTAAGTACAACTTCTGGATTATAGCAGTTCTTCCCCCCATACACATGCTCCCACCACAAACTATCCCACCTCCTACTCCCTCTCCCATCCCATTCTTCATTAAGATTCATTTTTAATTATCTTTATAGACAGAAAATCAACTCTATACTAAGTAAAGATTGCAATAGTTTGCACCCACTTAGACACACAAAGTATAAAACACTGTTTGAAGACAAGTTTTACCATTAATTCTCATAGTACAACACATTAAGGACAGAGGTCCTACATGGGGAACAAGTGTACAATGACTCCTGTTGTTGATTTAACAATTGACACTCTCATTTATGGTGTCAGTAATCACCCAAGGCTCTCATCATGAGCTGCCAAGGCTATGGAAGCCTTAAGTCCACAAACTCTGACATTATTTAGACAAGGCCATAATCAAAGTGGAAGTTCTCCCCTCCCTTCAGAGAAAGGTAGCTCCTTATTTGATGGTCCCTTCTTTCCACCAAGACCTCACTCACAGAGATCTTTCATGTAGCTCATTTTTGCCACAGTGTCTTGGCTTTCCATGCCTGATATGCTCTCATGGGCTTTTTAGCCAGATCCAAATGCCTTAAGGGCTGATTCTGAGACTAGAGTGCTATTTAGGGCATTTGTTATTCTATGCTGTGTGGCCCATTTCCCATGTTGGATCATTATCTCCTTATTAATCCTATCCATTATTATTAGCAGACTCTTGGTCTTATTTATGTGATCCCTTTGACACTTACTCCTATCTTTATGATCAGTTATGAACTTAAACCCATCACTTTAACTACTAAGATGGCATTGGTACCTGCCAACTTAATGGGATTTGGAGTCCCATGGCAAGTTTTTAGCTTTACCTTTAGGGGTAAGTCCAAGGGAATGTGTGCCAAACTGTACATCTCCTCCTCTTATTCCCATTCTTATTTTTAACAGGGATCAATTTTTTTTCTTTTTTTTTTACATTACATTTTTTACATTAAGCCTTTATTTAGTGAGAAAGGTGCTAGGAGAGTGAGAGCTTTATTTACAAGAGAGAGGTAAATCTGGGTTCATACCAAGCACCAGGAACCAGCCACAGGAGGCCAGGAAGCCTAGGGCAGGTGGCCTGAAGGCGCACCTGGGAGGCGCAGGGCTACATCAAGCCCCCTCTTGGCAATAGGCCAGGTAGAAGAGAAGGGTGGGACACACCGTGTCCCAGGCTTTTAATCCACTTCCAAAGGGGAGTGGTTAATTAACCTGATTGGCTGGTGGGCACCAGGTGTGGCCAGGTAGAGGCATGAGGTCACAGAGGGGCATGGTGAAGGTATCAGGTAGGGTGTGAGGTCACACAGGGGGCACAGTGAAGGCATGGTCTTCCAGCTCACCTAATCGATTTTAGCCTGTATGCCTGCCTACTTCATTCCCCCCTCAGAGACTCCATCCCCTTAATCCTAAGGGGAGTTGATGGTCATCAAATCATCTCTTCTGTAACTGCTTCCTGCTTATGAAGGGTGTAGTGCAGGCTCTACCTATCCAGGGTCTGGAAGTCTCTGCCAATCCTAACAAATTTGTTTTGTGAGCTGGAGCAGTCTCTATTATTGCCAACGTCTGTGTCCCCTGCATGGTCAGTTACTCCAATAAGCCGAGTTCTGAAACATAAGTTGTTAATTAGCAAAGGCAAAAATTGAGCAAAACCAATTGTAGGTGGGGTGCCTCTTTAGATGAAAACAAATTCCCAGATAGTGGGTAGTGATAGGCTATCCATATGTAGATTATAAACCCATTTAGTTTGAGTACAGAGAATTATAGTAGATCTCATTAGGTAGCTTTATGGGATCAATTTTCAATTGGATTTAAACACATAAGAATAATTCGAGTTAAGTAAAGAGTTCAACCAATGGTATTACCACCTTCTCCTAAAATAAACATGTCCCTCTTCCTCCCAAGCTACTAATTCTGATGTATTAGCCTTGGCTAATTTCCTATTCATTTATTCAATTTCCAGCCCACTGCCCTCCACAGAGGCTGAACCTTTGCTCAGAAGGGAACTACTCCATTTCAGAATTCAATACCCACACCCAGATAAAAGTCACATGTTGGGGCAGGTGCTGTGTCATAGGGGGTAAAGCCACCACCAGTGGTGCCGGCATCCCATACAGGTACAGGTTAGAGTACCAGCTACTCACTTCTGATCCAGCTCTCTGCTGTGGCCTAGGAAAGCAGTGTGAGATGGCCCTACACCCTCGTGGGAAACCCGGAGAAAGCTCCTGGCTCTTGGATTTGGATTGGCACAACTAGAGCCATTGCAGCCATTTGAGGAGTGAACCAGCAGATGGAAGACCTCTCTCTCTCTCTCTCTCTCTCTCTGCCTCTCCTTCTCGCTTTATGTAACTCTTTCAAGTAAATAAATAAATCTTTAAAAAATTTTCAAATGCATCTGAACTGCAAAATGCTAGAAGATAGTGGAAAAGAAAACTATGGAAGGAAGAGGACCAATGCCCAGGAACCCTCGGGTCAGGAAAGGTGGATTCCAACAGCCACCAGAGATTGTCGCTGCTGGAGTGACACCAGCAGCAGTGACAGAGAGGCATGCATGGGTTCCAACTGCACAGCACTCACTTGGAACACTCAGGATGTCACATCAATGATGAGAGAAATGGAAGAAACTGATCTCTTATTGTTTTAAATATTTAGTTATTTGAGAGACAGAATTATAGACACAGAGAAAGAGAGACAGAGAGAAATCTTGCACCTGCTAGTTCACTCCACAAATGGCCCCAATGGCCAGAGCTAGCCCAATCTGAAGCCAAGAGCTTTTTCGGGTCTCCCAGGTGGGTACCAAGACCCAAGCACTTGGACCCTCTTCTGCTTTCTCAGGTGCAATAGCAGGGAGCTGGATCAGAAGTGGAAACTGTCACCCAAGTGGGATGCCAGCGCCATAAGCATAGGCTTGACCTTCTACTCCACAGTTCCAGCCCAAGACCAGCCTCTTGACAGGGAATAATTAAAATGAGGGACAACGCCACTGAACAATGCATTTTCCAAACTCCACATACTTACAGCAGATGGTGACAGCAGGCTGGGACCCATCACACATACCTGATGAAGAATGAAATGAAGAGACATGGTGATGGGAATCAGCTGAATAAACTGATCTAGACCATGAGTCCTCCAGCACAGCATAGGTGGGGTCATCACTGTGGAGGGACTCACACAGATGCTGAGACACAGCACTGCACATCATCCCAGGGTAAGGCGTGGGGCTCCTCCCCTAACCAACTCCCTGTTTACAGCTCCTGTCACAGGTACTTGCTTTCTTTTTTTTTAAGTTTTATTTTATTTATTTGAAAGAGTTACAGAGAGAGGTAGAGACAGAGACAGAGGTCTTCTATCCACTGGTTCACTCCCCAGATGGCCACAATGGCCAGAGCTGCACCAATCCAAAACCAGGAGTCTCTTCCAGTTCTCCAATGAGGGTGCAGAGGCCCAAGGATCAGGCCACCTTCTACGACACTTACTTTCAATTCATACACACTGGGAAATTTTTTAAAAAGTTATTTATTTGACAGAGTTACAGAGACAGAGGAAGACATGGGGGGATGGAGGGGCCTCCCATGCGCTGGTTCACTCCCCAAATGACTGCAGCAGAGGAGCTGGCCAGATCCAAAGCCAGGAGCCAGGAGCTTCTTCTGGGTATCTCACGCAGTTACAGGAGCACAAGGACTTGGGCCATCTTCACTGCTTTCCCAGGCCATAGCAGAGAGCTGGGTTAGAAGTGGAGCAGCTGGGACTTGATCCAAAGCATCTTGGGATCCCAGCATCAGAGGCAGTGGTTTAACCCTATGTGCCACAATGCCAGTCCCTATGAACTTCACATATAACTATCCTTAGTTACTGTGTTTTGTCCCTTTGGTCACTGATGTATAACCCACCCCAGTATAGTGCCAAGAATATGTAAGGTCTTGAGTGGAGAAATGAATTTCTTCAAAGCAGCACAGGTTGATGGAAACACAACAGGAACTCCCAATGCAGTGCTAGATTTTGTACTACTTGCATTTCTGTAAGACGAAAGATCAGCAGATAGAATTAGTTAGAATAATATAGCCATTATATAAGCAAAGTACGCAGTGTAATGATTCAAACATGTAATCCTGTGCAGATCATGAATCTGGTGTTTGTGTGCCTTTATTCTCAGTAGACCTCACAGCATGGGGTATTTTCATTACAGCACAGCTCAGCTCAGAGCACCCACACCTCAAGTGCTGTGGGGCTGCCTGGCTGGTTTACACATCTAAGTCCTGTGAAGACTCCTCTGTTGTCAATGAAGTGTGCACACCACAGCAGTCACGGATGCCTTAAGCAAAGGGAACTCTCTGAATGGCAAGGAGTAAATTGGAGATCATTTTGTTATTTTTCATCAGCACATAAGGACAGAGGGCTGGGTAGCATGAAGCCACAATTCCAGTAATCTTCTCCAGTTCTGGACGTTTCTCAGTTCTATACAATAAATAGAAGGTAATGAAGTTGTTTGCACAATAAAAAAACACAAAGCACAAGACCAGGATGAGGATCCTGTGTGTGGCTCTGTTTTCTGGAGGTGTCTGGGAGGAGAGCCTGGGGCTGTGGATGTGCTGGGCATTCCTGAGGTGCCTGCAGAGGTGAGTCACCATGCAGAGGCTGGCACAGATCATGAGCACCACAAACAGGAGATCACGAAGCACCATGACACTCAAGAGTGCTGCTGAATAGTGGCGATTCAGTGGCTGAGTTTGACAGTACGCATGAGCATACCCAGAACCAACAGCAGTGACATTACCGCTGGCTTCAGTGGCTCGGATGCTGTGGATGTAGATCAGCAGGTTGATGATCCAAAAACACAGGAGACAGGGCAAAATCCACTTGGACAGTTTAGATTTAAGCCATGCAAACTTAGAATGACTGGGACTCATAGTGACAGCTTGAAATACACTCAGGAGTGAGGTGGTACAAATGGAGAGACCCCGGGTAACTCTGTATGTGTACAACACTGTTTTACAACCAACACTATCCAAGAAACGTCTTACTCCAAAGGATGATGCAATATCTGGCACCAGCCTGAATGTGATGGTCAAGATATTGACCAATGACAGGTGTAAGAAAATCACATCTATGGGCTTCTTCAGATGTGGCCGGATCAGGAAGGCATATGTATATAACACAAAGAGCAATGAGTTCCCAAAGACACCAATACAAATTTGAGATATGAGGAAAAATCCAAAAATCAAGTCACTTGGCAACATTATCTCACTGACCGATGTTTTTAGGTGCTTTAATTGGATAATCCAGGACTCTGATAAAACATAAAAGAATCACATTGTGAGATTAAAATCAAAGGCAGCTGTGGGAGAATATAATGATGGATAGTTCAGTAGGAGGGGAACATGTTTAAATGTTCATATCTTCTGTGTGTCAGGCCCAGATATGGGACATCCAGAGGCTGCATTCCAGGGACTGTCAGAACCTAAGAGTACAGAAACAGGAGCATGAACCAGGAGACCAGGAGAAACTGAAACACTAGCACCATTTACTTCGTGCACTTCCCAGGACGTATTCAGGACATATGAAAGACACCTAGATGTGGTTTCCTTTAATCGCATTGTTTTCTTTAGCTCATTGGCTGGCATTTTCTCTCTAAACCCATGTTTCCATTACCTGGCCTTTCTGAGAACATTATAGTCACATAACATAAAGAAGAGCTAGTACATACCAAGTCCTTTTTCCAGTTTTGGCCATTTCACAGTTCTCCCAAGATGATTAGCAATTACAGCCCACTTCTAACAAAGAGTTCACCAAGTGTGGTCTTTTTGCCTCTCCCATCCCCCTACCCTGCTACCCACACCTCTCCATGGGTGTAGTAGTATTATTCAGGAACAACCTTGATCACATCACTTGGGGCCGAGCAACTGGCATGGAGTAGGTAGAGTCCGAGGGTGCTGCAGCATCCCACAGTGTGCAGGACAACCCACACATCCAGGAATTTTCAAGACCCAAGTGGCGGCCGGCGCCGTGGCTCAATAGTCTGATCCTCTGCCTTGCGGCGCCAGCACACCGGGTTCTAGTCCCGGTCGGGGCGCCGGATTCTGTCCCGCTTGTCCCTCTTCCAGGCCAGCTCTCTGCTGTGGCCAGGGAGTGCAGTGGAGGATGGCCCAAGTGCTTGGGCCCTGCACCCCATGGGAGACCAGGATAAGTACCTGGCTCCTGCCATTGGATCAGCGCGGTGCGCTGGCCACGGCAGCCATTGGAGGGTGAACCAATGGCAAAGGAAGACCTTTCTCTCTGTCTCTCTCTCTCACTGTCCACTTTACCTGCCAAAAAAAAAGACCCAAGTGGCACTCTCACCATGGTTGATAAACCTGATAAACCCAGCCTAACAATGAGTCCATGCATATTCCTGACTACAGCACATCTAAAATCCACATTTGGTCTGAGAATTTGTTCTCAGCCTATTATGAAGCAGAATAGAAGGTAGACAAGTATTATCAGACTAGGAGTGATATGGCAGTGATTAAGGTTGATGTTCAAATTCAAACTGTTGATACCTCATCTCTATATACCGGATTTGGAGATAGTGTACTTCTTTCATCCAGTTATTTCCATCATCAAAACTGCAATCCCTTTTTGCTATGTAGATTTCTGGGGAATTCTGAGGTTGTCTCTTTTATGCTGCCCAACTCCATCTAAGTATTCTGAACCTGGAAACCTGTCTTCCCCACCTTCACCACAACTCCACTGGTATCCATCTCCCCTACAGCAATGACATTCTCAGGATCTAGCAAAAGCAAAAAGCACTCAAATTATGTCTCCAACATCATTCCTTCAATATCAGACATCATTCCTTCATTATCTCATTTGTCCCTCTAGCAATGTTATAACTGTTTTTATTAGCTGGCATTGTTTGAAGTTGTGATATCTGATATGACTGGCACCTGAGGATAATTCAATTTTTCACATGCACCTCACCTTTCATATGTGAGAAGCGATGTCAGATCTGTCCTCCAGCCCTGGGATGGTGTTGTCACCAGGAGGGACTGCTCCCCCTCTTCCTTTGAACCACAGCTCATTCTTCAGCTCCACCCTCCCATGTCTCTGAATCTCTTCCCTTAGCAAAACACAGTTTATCATTATTGTGTCATCCAGATGAATTCCCAAAATCCCCTTAGGGGTCTATGTGGTTCAGCTCTCTTTCTGCCCAGGCTGAACATCCCAGGCTCACATCTGAACAGGACCAGCCTCAGTGCTGCACAGCTCATGATTGGATGAATGGTATCAGTCCTCTGTCCATGACTAGTGGAGAAAAGCGAAACAGACTACAATGTGTACAGTACCACTGGAAAGCTTTCTCGACTCACACGTACTCCATCTGGCAGTCAATAAAATAAGACGGGAATAGAAATACACATGGACAAGTCATCTGCAATCATGAGAAAGACAACAAAAGATGGCAAGTTGTCTAGATGTACAGTCAGGGTGTTTGGATTGCCAAAATAACCAAGATACTATTGGGACAGGAAAAATGAGGAAGATAGAACAAAAACATTAGGGAGAAGGAGTAAGTATGGAAAAAAGAAAAGAAGGAAAAAGCTAAAGACACAGCAGGAAAAAATGGCACAAACATGAATCTATCCACACCATAAATTACCATAAGTAAGAACCAACTAGAAGGAATGCAGCTGGGCGGCAGAGGAAGAGGTCCCCACCTGTCTTCCACCAGCAATGATTTCTCAGCCACACACAGACAAAAAGTGTCTTTACAGAAGCTCTAAGGTCTAGCTAGGAGGCTGAGCACCTCAGGGGAGCCCCCAAGACCAAGAGAAGCATTCTGGAAAGGCAAGGCTCCAACCAGCTCTCAGGTTCCCTGACTGGGGTCCCCAGTGCAGACACAGACTCAGCCCCGTGGAGACTCAGTTGGGGTTTGTTTGTTGTTTAATGCTCGTGCTACTACTAAGACCATTCACCAAGGCAGCCAGGAGGAGTCACACCGCATTGTCCCTTCTGATACAGACACACTGGCCTCATTCTCAGCAGTGGCCCTGAATCAGTCATGCACCTTGGTCCCAGGCACTCTGAGCTGCAGTCAGGGAGCAGCCCTGGATGCCCAGGACACTGGAGGAAGTCACCAATGCCAGTGCTGCCGAGAGCAGACCTGAGGACCTCGGGGAAACCACAGATCCTGAAGCCCATTGGGTCTCGGCTCCAGCCTTTCCGGCTCACAGAAGGAACCAGCAGTAGGCTGTGTCTGTGTGCCCTGGGAGGCAGGCCTGCAGACCTCAGTTCGGCCTGTACACCATACAGAAAGCCTGTGACTCAGTTCTCTCGCCTGGGGTCCAGAATACACCCTGCCCATCCAGGACTCAGCAGGAGTCACACCCTTCCATGCCCATGGTAATAGGTCCATCAAATGCAGATTCAACTGCAGAGTTAAGTCAGACACGTTTCCCAGTGCTGGGCTTTACCAATATTATGGAAGCAGTGTGGTCCACCCAAGGACTCAGCAAGATCTAGGCTCACCTAAGTTACAGGGCTATGAACTGTGAATCTTACTGTAAACCAGTAGTAGTCATTTCAAATGTGTATCAAGGGGCTAGCGCTGTGGTGTGGTAGGTTAAGCATCCACCTGCAGGGCTGGCATCCCATATGGGCACTGGTTCATGTCTGCCTGCTCCACTTCTGACCAACCTCTCTCTAGGGCCTGGGAAAGCAGTGGAAGATGGCCCAAGTGTTTGGACCCCTGCACCCACATGGGAGACCTGGAAGAAGCTCCTGGCTCCTGGCTTTGGATCAGCACAGTTCCAGCCATTGTGGCTATTTGGGGAGTGAACTAGCAGATGGAAGACCTTTCTCTCTGTCTCTTCCTCTCTCTGTAACTCAACCTCTCAAAATAATAGATAAATCTTTAAAAAAAAAGAGAAAGAGAGAGATATCTATAAAGTCAAGGAAAAAGTATTGGTACCTTCAAATGCACCAACACAAAACTAAACATATCAGGGATAATCAGATAAATACAACACAACCGAAGAAAACTAAAAACACTTTAGTAACCAACTGTAAGTAGATAAATACTGTAAGTAAATAGAGATGGGTGATCTTGTTTACACCGAGCATACACAGTGGACAGAAAGCATGGTCTTCAAACACTGTTACTGGGAAGACTGCACAATTACACGCAAAAGAATATTTCACCCTTACAGAACCATATTCAATGTCAACCCAACATAGATTCAACACAAAGGGAAGATCTGACACTCTAAAGTTATAAGGAGGAAAAACTTCCTGACATTTACCTGAGGAATTATTTTTATGATATGAAAGACAGTCACTTAAATAAAAAGGGGAGGGGAGGCTGGCATTGTGGTGTACCCAGTGAAGCCAAGGCCTGCAAGGTCAGCAGCCCTTGGGGGCACCGGTTTGAGTCCCAGCTGATCCACTTCCAATCCAGCTCCCTGCTAACGTGCCTGTGGGAGGCAGCAGTGGAAGACAGTCCAAGTCCTTGGGCCCCTGTACCTATGTGGGAGGCTTCAATGAAGCTCCTCTCCAGACCAGCCCAGCTCCAGCTGTTGCAGCCATTTAGGGAGTGAACCAGTGGATGGAAGAACTGAAGAACTGAAGGACATTTTTCTAATGAAGATGTACAAGTGAATGATGTATGAAAAGATGCTCAACTTCATTGATCATCAGGGAAAAGCCAATTGAAACTTCTTAAGATAGCACATCACACCATCAGGATGGCTAATATTACAAAGGTAAGAGATGACAAGAATTAGCCAGAGTGTAGAGAAATGGGAGCCCTCACACAGCATTGGTGGGAAGGAAGATAAACTGGTACAGACATTAAGGAAAACCATGTAGAAATCCCTTGAAACATTAAAAATAGAAATGCCATATGATCCAGGAACACCACTTCTAGGTGTGGATTCCACCACAATGAGCAGAGTGTCCCTCAGAGATATCCACACACCGTGTTCACTGCAGCATTCCTCATCATAGCCGAGATCTGCAAACAGCCTCAATCTAACTGTGGGTGAGTGGATAAAGAAAATGTGGTGTGATGCGATGGAACATTATTCAGTCTTTTGAAAGGAGATCTGGCAGCAACTTACTCCATATATTTATAAGTAGCAGGGAGACAGAAGTTTAAGGGTTCCTATCACAAAGAAATGGTAGATGTTTAGGGAGATGGAAGTGTTAAATACCCTGATTTGATCATGACATATTACTTAACTGTATGGAACTATCACACTGT